CAAATTTTTTTTAAAAATATATAATTAAAAACACAATTAAAGTTAAGTGTGGGTATTGGGCCTTTTTGGGTCTTGTCTAGATGGTTTGGGTCGTTTCAAAAGAAAAGTGGACAGGCCCAATAAAAACAAGATCAACAATCGACAGAATGTAGATCAAATTCGAGTACTAATTATTTCTTTTATTTACATGAACGTTTCGAGTTCAAACTTTGAGTATAAAAAAATTCTTGGTATGGAGTGCCAGAGCGGTTCCCCCTGATGGGGGCCTCTATTAGTCGAGCTCCTTGATAATCTTTCGTACTATAAATATAGATCAATAAAGAAATTTTTTCTTCGTTCATTTGTTCAGTATTTCAAACATATATTTCTACTTTTATTTGTCACTTTTAACATATCAACAAAAGACAAAAAAATTTTCTTATTTTACCTCATTAACTACTTATTTTTCAAAACATAAGACTATACACCAATTAATATGAGTATGATAGTAAAATACCATATTAATCATTTTTCTTACTGGATATACAAAGTTCAAAGTGGACAAATAAAAATGAACAAAATAAATAATTATTGAAAAGAATAATTATTTCGATCCTCTCCGCGTTAATGATGCATTTGTCGAGGAGTTTAGGTACATTAAATATATTAATTGATGTACTAATTTAATTAATTAATTAATTAATAATGTACTAATTAATTTGGGTTTATATTGACCTTCAGCGTTGACCACGCTGTCAACTTTGGCCAGCTCGATACCCGCTGAATACAAATTTAATTTAATTGCTCTTATTGACATTTTACCCTTGTTTAATTAATAATATAATTAAATTTCCAAGGATAAAAGAGTAATTATTTGATAATTTTGAATAAATTAGGCATTTGTTTATATGTCGTACAACATAATAACGTACGATACAAGATTCAAAAAGAGGGGTGGGGGTGGGGTCAATTAGTTTTGAATATTTTTGAGATATAAAATTGAATTATTCATTTTTCCAAGAATTAAAAATAATTTAGGTAGGCTACATCTTGCCGTGGCTATGATGACAAAGTTTTAAAAATTTACATATGACATCTTAGTTTAAGATAAGAAGTTTTGCGTTAATAAAATTATATGCAAGATACTGGGTATATAAGTAAACATGTTCTACATTATAGTGACGCATTTTAAAGTCGCGAGGTTCTAAGCTCAAAGAGGGTAATGTCACTAGTAGGGTTGGGCCATTACATACGGTATTAAAGCCACTCTTGACTTTGTGTCAATCTTGTCGATGTGGGCCAAAGTTCAGCTCAATTTACGTAAGTTTGGATAAGGCGGAGGAGCAAATCTCAATATTGAGTCTAGGCAAGTCTCATGTGATGGGGCAAATCTCAGCAAAAACACTGAGTCAATAAAAGGGGTATATGTAACACCCCAAATTAAGATAAAAATAATCTCACATCGGCAAACTATTTTAGAGATATTTGATATATAAATAAGCAAACATTACATTCGAATGACACATTTTAAAGTCATGCTAAATCTAAATTAAGAGCGTACAATATCACTAGCAGAATTTTCTTTTAACATGATATACCGGTCAATTTCTTTTATCATGATATAACATGATAAATAAACATCCACATACATGTCAAAATTAAGATTAAAAGAATTTTATTCAATCTATCATAAATCATGGTCATTAAACTTTACCATCATTTTTAAATGAGAAAAGGGTCAGCTATGCCCCTAAACTATTCCAAAAGGACTAGATATACCCCCGTTTAAAGTTTGGTTCACTTGTGCCCTCGCCGTTCAACTTTTTGTCTAGATATGCCCTTATGGGCGTTAAATGCCAAATGGAATTGCCACGTCATTTTTACATTACCACGTGACATTTATATTAAAGTGAAAAGGGTCAAATATATCCCTAAACTATTTGGAAAGGTCTAGATATACCCCCCTTTTAAATAAACTACCCGACCCGTTTTCAACAAATTTTTTTCGGTAAATCCCGAAAATGAGTAATTGACTAATAAAAAATAGGAAAAATATGAAGAAAAAAAAAATTAACGCCAAAAATTCGCAAATACATAGTAACCTTAAATTCAACAATTTCAACAATTTTT